GGGAATGGAAGCGAGCTTTTCTTTGTTAGGGCAGTGAATGGGCTGATCCCCGCAGCCCCTGGGGAGCTCAGGAATGCTTTTGCTCAGTCGTGCTCTCCAGCTGCCAAAGGGCGCGAGCTGAGATGACCCTCCCGGTCCCTGCCTGCCTGGCGGGAGTGCAAACACTCTCCCCGTGTGCTGACCAGCAGGGAGGGAGTTTTACTTTCCTGACATGGTCACAGGTGCAAGTGCAGGCTGGGGAGGAACTTGCCTGCCTGTTCCAGGAGGTTTTGGTGCGGGTCAGGCATGTTCCGTCCTCTGGAGTAGGAACAAGAGGGGGAAATGCACCCAGATTTTTTTATTTTTTTTTTCCCTAGGCAGAGACCTAAGCCCAGACTTGCTGTGTAAGACCCAATCTGAAGAAAAATAGGTACATCCCTAACATGACCTGCAAGTGCTAAAGCTGTTTTCAGGGACAGCACTGATGTTCCTCCTCTCCCAGCCCTGGGCAGCTGCTTCATGCTGCCCAGCAAGAACCAGCAGCAAAAAAGGATGGGGAGGAAAAAGAAAGGCGCTCTGGCAGGTGCAGGGCAGGAGGAGACAGACCCTGACTTCAGCAATCATTGCCTTTGCCTGCGTGTGCGTGCAAAGTCCAGCAGGAAGATGTAAGGCACCAACGTGGGGCTCATCAGGTTGTGGAGGTGCAATAGGGAGGAGGCTGCAGCTGCCTGTGCCAGGGAGATGTTATGGGTGAAGCCAGGAGGGAGTGTCTGGATCTGGTCCTGATTAGTGCTTTGTGGTTCCTATCAATGGGAACTGCAGAAAAAGCCCTCCCTCGGTCCCTCCAGCCTTTCCCCATGCATTTTCCCTTTTCTAGCTCCAGCAGTGCCTGTGTAGATGCCCGATCCCAGGACGCTGTCCAGAAAGAAAGGCCAGGGTGTCAAAGATCACCCAGCCAAATTCAGAAAACGCTACGTTGTTGTATGCAGTGATGGGACAGAAACCAGGATGCTCAAAAGACAGCTGCCACTAGGGACCAAAATCCCAGGAGGAAAGCAGGGTGTGGGGCCATGCATGATGAAGTCCTCCCCTTCGTGGCAACACTGGGTGGTGGCACTCCATCCTGGGGGTAAATCCTCTGTGGTGTAAGAAGCCCTGGGTAATGCAAGCCTTAATTCCCATCCCACAATGAGCCCCTCAGAGGGCCCGGTCTGGAGGCAGAAGGACTGAGCGAGTGACATTTGCTGTCATTCCCTTGCTAGAGGTTTAACTCAGGTCCCCGTTATGTCTTCCTCTAACACCTTCCTGCTCAAGCGGTGTATTATGTTAGCGCTCGTGCTGTAAATAATAATAATCGTGATAATCATCAAGCAGGCTGTTGAGCAAGATCAGAGGCAGTGGTTGTGCTCGTTCTCCTGAGGTGCACATGGCTTTTTTTTTTTTTTTCCTGGGTTTTGAACAGGACAGCAAGTCCTGTAGCAGCGGGCTGTGGATGTAACGAGCACGGATCATTAGCAGCAGCAAATAGGTCCTTTTCCTACCTTCCTGCCAGAAAGTGATGGAAACTTGTTGCGAAAATTCAAGCCTCCCAGTCATTTTGGAAAACGCTTCCTGCAACGCGAGCGAGCGGGGAGGTGGCGTTCCCACACACCCACGTGCACACGCGCGCACCCTGTGCGGTGCCCAAAAGCCTCCGGAGCACGAAAGCACGTGGGCTGGCTTTGGGGCCAGGTGCAGGGAGGTGCACAGGCTGTTCTGCACCGTGCCTGTGGAGGACAGCGGGCAAGATTTGTGGTTTCCCTGTCACTGGTGTTTTGCTTTCTCCTGGCAGGGTGGAAATGGCTCCTGGAGGGAAGGAGCTGCTCAGGAGCTCATCCCAGCCAGCTCCAGCATTAAGCCCTCATCCCCTGGGGCAGGGGACAGCCCACAGCCAGCTAAGGGTATTTTCTGCCTCCCAGGGCTGATGGGAGCCTGCAGAAATTAGGACAGCAGCTGACCGGTGTTGGGGACCTGCAAGCTGGTCTCCAGGAGCTCTCCAGTCTTTCCCTGGGTCCCCCACTGGACACCACAGTGCCAGGACCAGCAACAAAGTCATGGGGTGGCTCTGAGTTGAGTTCAATCTCCTGCCTCAGCCATAGGGTCTCCAGCCCCTTGAGATTCCTACAACCCAAGTGCCACCTCCCGGCTAGCCAGCATCCTCAGCGTGGCCACCAATGTCACTCTTTGGTGTGGCCATGGGGTCTGGGACATCTGCAGAGAAGCTGACATCTCCCCATGGTGGGGAGAAGGGATGGCGATGTGAGGCTCACCCACCTCCTGCTGCCCTGTGCCCGGGACTGGGATTGGGAGATTTCGGCTGCTCTGCCTCTGCAAACGGCCGCCTGCCTGAAACCCAAGCACCAGGTTGGCGAGGCGGATGGGAGTTGGCTCCGACTGTAGGCGGGAATGGGCTGTGCATCGGGCCAGATCCTGACAGCGAGGGAGGAGATACTCCAGCCTCCTTCCTGAGTCTCAGACAGGCACAATTAGGGCTCATTCGGGGAAATTGGGCGTTCCTCCCGCCAGCGTCTCCTTGGGAGCAGACACGCAGCGGTGCCAACGCTGCCTGCCACAAGCCAGCCAGGGGTGGCAGATGGAGGCTGAGGAATGGGTGTGGGGGCTTTGGAGATGCTGACACGGTCCCGGTTGCACGGGGTGGCTGCCGGTTGGTGTGGGTGAGATGGCTGGGGGAGAAGGTGAGGATTTGGGGCAGCTGGTGCTGCTGCTGTGGCTCTGCCTGGCCCCTCGCCTTGGTACCACGATGGTCTCTCACCACCTGCCCAGAACTCGTCAGTCGTTTGTATGTCGGAGACCTCTGCCCTTCCCTTTGTCTAAATTGGCTCGTTAGAGTCAAATTGGGGAACAGATGAACAGGTGCATGAGCTTTGGCCTCCTTGCTGTAGGAAATCAGGCTAAAAACCACCAGAGGGTGGAGGAAAGGGATCCACGGAGTTCTCACCAGAAGATAAAGACCTAAACCAGAGCCTGTGGCTGTCTGGGCATCGCAAGACAACGGCCAGGACAAGGTTGTGTAGCCCCAACCCTTCCTCCTCCTGCACCAGCCGGCCCCTTGGCTCACCCCGAGGTGTCCCACTGCAGCCAGCCCTCCGTGCATCCCTGGGAGGGCGAAAGCAGCTCCTCCAAGCGCTCCTTCAGCTCTGCAGGAAGAGCTGGACTCGGGCAGGAGCTGGGCAGCTTTCAGCACACACCATTCCCCGGCTCCCTCGTGCTCCTGTGCTTCCCACCTGCCCTTGCCGAAAGGGCTCCACGTTAGTCCCTGGCTCGCAGCCCGCCCTGGCTTGCTGGCAGGAAGCAGAGGAACAAGGTGTTTGCACAGGCTCGAGTTGCTGCCCATATGAGCGGACTGAGCCACTGCAAACACCCCCTGCACCACGAGCCCGGGGGACTGGACACGCTGTGCTGTTTTTCTGAATCCTCGCTGCCGTGGCCCGTTGGTTTGTTGATTTTTTTTAGAGCTGCGCCCCTCTTAGGTGGTATTTCATAGGTGATGAGCTGCATGCTGTCGTGTTAGGGCAGGCTGTGAATCCTCCCCTCCCACAGCTACTCAGGGGCAGCCCAGGGAGATGCCCCCACACTCGGTGCCAGAGGGGGCTCAAAGGACAGAGGTGGCAGCGGTGTCGGGGCTGTGGAAGGACTCGTTCACTGCAGTTGTCTCTGGTCTGCTTTCAGACCTTGGAGTGCAGCAGCATCTTGTGGCAAAGCAGGAACTTCTACTGCACCCCGTACGTTCCCGATGTAATCAATCTCTTCCCTATCCCAGTGTCCATCATCCTCTTATAATAGAGGAGTGACTGTGAGTCCAGCAGCAAGGCGAAAATACAGGCACATGAGTGTCACAGGGCAAAATGGCAAGAGGACCCCATCCTGGAGAGACGTGCAAGTCCCAGGGAGGATGGGTGGAGCCATTTAGGTGGCTTCTGGGTGCAGAGTCTGGGATGCTGATCCAGCTCTGTTCTCATGGAAGAAGAAAAAAAAAGAAAAAGGGGGGCGGGAGGGTGGAGAGAGGAGCGTTTAAATAAATAAGTGTCCACGGAAAACTTAGCAGCTTTTAAAAGTGGGGACCTAGTGACCAGCCTGTCCCCTGTGCCATTTCTAGGGCCACCACTGCATGTGCCAGGCTGGTGCTGCCATCAACCCCAAGCGGGCATCCCCTGCCAGGTGTCCCCTTGTGCACCACTCTGTAACCTGGTGGGGCAAAGCCATCTGCAGGGACTGCTCCTGTCTGCCTTGTTTCAGCCCCCTGGTGCTTGTCCTGCTGCTCTGGTGGCTTCTCCCATGCCTGCCCTGGCAGCATCAGCACCGGTCCCCAGGGAAGCAGGGGCTGGGAGACCAGCAACCTCAGGAGCTAAACCGTATTCAAATTTAGTCCAGAAATAGCCCTTTTTCACTCTGGTGGCTGCACTAAAAGGTCACAAGTCAGCTAAGTTTAGCCTGTCACCAGCTCTCCTATATATAACCGTGCAGGGCTCCTGACTGCATCCTGCCTGGGCAGGTCACGCTGGGGCGATGCGAGGCGGTGCACGGGGCCACGGGCAGAGCCTAAATGTGCTCCTCGGGGCCACTGGTGGCAGCTATGGCCGGGCAGCACTGCTGTGAGGTGTTGCCACAGGCTTTGCCAGGGGATCAGGGCATGCGGTGGCTTTGCTGTGTGACAATCCCGGGCCTTGGCGTCGTCTCATCTTTGAGCGTATCTGGCTTGTGCTCTTGCATCTGCAAGGTGGGGTGGGATGGGAGCTAGGTGGCTGTGTGAGGGTTGGTTTGTAGCTCTGCTAAAGCCTCTTCTTCCTGCTGGCCCCTTGAGGGTTACACCAGGAGCAAGACCTGGGGCTTTCCCAGAAGGGACCCGGAGGACAGATGCATTTCCATGGGCCTTCTTCGGTCCTGGTGCAAAGATGTCCTCTGGGATCAAACCAGCAATCAGCCGCTGGAGACCTGATGATCTGCTGTCCTTTCCCCTCCAGAACGGGAGTCCCGTGAACACGAGGAGCCGACCACGTCGGAGATGACGGAGGAGACCTACCCGCCCAAGGCCTACCGGCCCAAGCACGGCCGCCTCTCCGAGCTCAAAGCCGAGGCCCTGAAGAAGGACCGCAGGAAGAAGCTGACCCTGGCCAAGTTTGTGGGCATGGCGGAGAACACGGCACATCCCCGCGTCGTCATCCCCGAGCTCCGGCAAGAGTTTGAGCTGGTGGGTGCCGTCCCTTTTTCCCCGGGAGGGCTTGGTGACCACGGGAGAGGGTACCGGGGGGGGACCTGGGGACATTCACGGCTCGAGGCTCGCCTCAAGGTGCTCCCCACCTGACAGACCCCATTTTCCCCTCGCAGGGCCCTTGCCGCAGGCACATGGAGGCCTCCCTGCAGGAGCTGAAGAGCAGCCAGCGGATGGTGCCCCGTGCCGTCCACCTCCCCAACTGCGACCGAAAGGGCTTCTACAAGAGGAAGCAGGTGAGAGCCCTGTGAAGGCAGGGATGCCTCTCACCCTGGAGGTTTTTCTCAGCTGCCATCCCAGCTGGAACAGATGGAGGTTTTTCCTCCATCAGGCTGCTGGGGAAGTTGCTGGGAGCCTCTCCAGGCACGGTTGGTGCTCAGTGGTCTTGTTGGAGGCTCTGAGCGTGGTCCAGCCTGAGATGAGCATCCTGAAGCTGCTGGGAGGGGAGAAGGAAAAGGAGTGCTCGGGGCTGGGGATAGAGGTGCTGGGGTAAAAGTGGTCAAACTCTGGGCTGAGCCAGCACAAGGGAGGCAGCAGGGGCTGGTGACAAGCTCCTGATCTTTGCCCTTCGGTGTCTCCCCAGTGCAAGCCCTCCCGAGGCCGAAAGCGTGGGCTGTGTTGGTGCGTGGACAAATACGGCATGAAGCTGCCGGGGACTGACTACCTGAGCGGAGACCTGCAGTGTCACGCGTTTGACAGCAGCAACGTGGAGTGAAGTCGCATCCCCTCCCTCCGCCCCATCACCACCCACCCAGGCTCCCTCCCACCCTCCCCTCCACACCTCCCCGCACCCCGGGACTCCGATTCCTTTCATCTCATGTAAGAAGAAAAAAAAAAGAGAGGAAAAGAAAAAAGAGAAAGAAAGGCACAGAAAACAAAAAAATATAAATAAGGGATAAGGAAAAGGAGAGTGAAAAGAAAAAAGAGAAGTTAAGAAAGGACAAGGAAAAAGAAAAGCAGAAAAAAAAGAAGAAAAAGAGGAAAAGGGAAAAGAAAAGAAAAGAAAAGAAAAGAAAAGAAAAGAAAAGAAAAGAAAAGAAAAGAAAAGAAAAGAAAAGAAAAGAAAAGAAAAGAAAAGAAAAGAAAAGAAAGAAAAGAAAGAAAAGAAAAGAAAGAGAAAAATTGAAAAGAAAGAAAAGGAAATGAAAATGAAAACGGAAAAGAAAGGAAAAGAATACAAAAATGGAAAAGAAAAGAAAGAAGACAAGAAAGAAGGAAAGAGAAAAACAAACCCTGAAGAAACTGAGGACTCGGAATCTACAGCAGCGTTTTGACAGCAAGGACTCAGCAAGGAAAGGACAGAGCCAGAGACAAGCCAGCTTCGGCCGCTCCGCCATCCCGCACCTCTCCCTGCACCACCCGCGCCCCCCTGCTGCCGAGCAGAGCCCACGCCAATGTAGGAAGCTCTCCGAGTTGGTGATTTTCTAATTGGGGTTGTGGGCGGGGTGAATTTTTCTGTTTTTTTTTTTTTTTGTTTTTTTTTTTTAATTCTTTCTGGATTAGCTAGTCATTTTCTAAAGGGTCTGGAGAGAAAACCTTGCGGCCACCAGCGTCTCCACTCCTTGCTCCGTTCTTCTGGAGTTTCCTCCCTGCATCGCCGGGATGCACTCGAGTCAATCTGATCTCCGTCCCAAACGACCGCCCCGATCCAGGCAGATCTGAACCATGCTGGGAGGAAGAGGAGGAGGAGGAAGAAGAGGAGGAGCGGGACTGCTGCGCGCACCTGGAGATGTACCGGGGAGGGACACACAAGCTCCTGCAACGGCACGAATATCCCCCGCAATATTCGTGGACTTCAAAAAGAAACACTCCAGAAGGGAGACGTCCCCTTCTCAGTGCAGTTCCTCTTGACCGGGAGGTCAGAAATCCGAGTTTTGGACGAGTGAGACTCCAAACGTCACCCAGCCGTGTGTGTGGAAGCGTTTGTCGTGTGCGTGCACACAGACGTGACTTCTCCTTGCAAAAAAACTGTGCCTGGAAACCTGCAATTTGAAGGCTTCACTGTAAGCAAGGGGAGAGCTGCTGGACTGAACAGGGAGCAGAGCTACGGAGGTGCCCCGAGGCCCCACCAACACCGAGGGCTGCGTCCAAGCCGGCTCTGCAGATGCTCCACCGCTCCCCAGCGTGAAGCAGGCATACGTGGGGACGGGGGACCGGGGACAAAACCCTTCACCACCCTTTGCTGCCACAGCGAAGACCAACTATGGAGATTTTTTTTTATTATTATTTTTTTTATTATTATTTTTGTTTTCACAGCCAAAAAAAAAAAAAAGTTTGCTCCAGGGGGGAAAAAAAAGACTTTTATTTCGTCTTGGGTTTTTGTTAAGGCTGGTTTGTAGCCTTTCCCAGGGTTAGGAAAACACCAGTCTCCATCCTTTCACACTGAGGACACTGCTCATGTCTGCCCTGGCTGACTCCCTCCGCCATCTCCCCATCCTGCCGTGAGATCCTACAACAGGTCCTCACACTTCACCCAGGAACCTTGTCCTCGTTCAGTGACAGAGGCCACCACCAAACGGAGACCCACTGCCTCAGGCATGCTTGGACAGCCGTCAGCTGCCTTCCTGACCTTTGTTGTGTTATTTTTGTTTTTTTTTTTTTTTTTGTTTTGTTTTATTTTTTTTCATTTTCCACATTGGATTTTGGGACTCATTTCCCCACGACAAGGGTCTCCGTGACTGCTGCGCTGGGAAATCCTGCAGCAAAGGGAAGGAGGAGAAGGAGCTGTAGGGGGCTGGGCGTTGCAGCCCCGGCACTCAAAACACGCACCTGGAGCCATCCGAAGGATGCGGCCAGTCTTTGGGGGAGGATGCAGCCAATGCGTCCCCCAAAGAGGGTCTGAGACTCTTGGGGCTGGACAGGGAGGAAGAGGGGGGCCCAAGCACCGGTGGGGCCAGGATGGGAGGGAGCACCAGCTCTGGTGAAGGCTCCTCTCCATCACTGGTTGGGTGCCTTCGTAGCGTCCCAAGGGACGGCATCCCCACCACCACCGCAACCAGGCATCCTGCAAGGATGCTTTGCCCTCGTGGGGGCAGGACTGGATGGCCCCCAAGTGTTTTTTTTTTGCCAATAGACTTCCACGGAGACCCAACGGGGCATGTTTGGAGCTGGGGGTGGAGTGCCTTCCTTTGCTGAAAGGAAGCGAGGAACGAGGGGGGGGTGAGGAGGGGCACCAAATGCAGATCTCTTTCCCTCTTTTTGAAAGAAAAAAACAAAAGCAGGATTGAGGCAACCCCTGTGGTGCTGGGGGGGGGAGCTGGGGCTGGGGAGGGAACCCCTTGGCTCTGTGGGGCTGATGGAGCAGGGTTGGATTGAGCAGGATGGGGGGTGAACAGGATGGTGAAGGGGGGGTGGAGGGACGGCAGGATGGAGAGGGAGCCCGTGCCAACCCCCAGGGCCACAGGCACGGTCACCGCTGTCTCCCATCTCCTCCACTTGCCTGTCCCCGTGCAAAACCTCCCGACTGTTATAGGCCAGTACCACCTTCCCCAGTGCCCCTCTCCCTCCTTTCCTCCTCCCTCTCGTTCTTGCTTTTTTTGTTTTTTTGTTCATTTTGTTTTTGTTGTTTGATTTCCCAAAACTTGAAAGCCTTTGGCTGCAGAGAAAGGAGCCGTGCTGCCCGGGGACAGGCGGGATGGGAGCGGGCAGAGGGATGGCAGCTCCCCATAGGACGTTTATTTCGGAGAACTCAGCTCCCAGGGGACACAGACCAGCCTGGTGGTGGCCTTAACGATGCAGCCACCACCTTGACACTGGGAGGGGGACAGAGGAGGACTCCCTGTCCTCCCCATACAACGTGGGTCCCAGCTGTGGCCCCACGAGCTCCAAAATCCATCGGGCGGTGACCAAGTGCTGCCCTTCTCAGCGGGCAGGTGGAGGGACCCGCTTTGCCTTTCGGGTGGGGAAACCAGAAGGGGTGGACGCGGCACGGGGACCGAGGCACACAGGGAGGTTGCCGGCCATTTCACGCACCAGCGGCCGCCGGGTGAGAGGAAAAGGCTGGAGCAGGGGTGAGGACAGCCCTTGGACCACATCTCCCAGGGGAGATGTTCAGCAGCTGGGTTACCCCTTGTCTGTACTGCAGTGGCCTTCGAAAACCACTAGTACAAGAGCATTTTGCACTATTTCTCTGCTCCCTCTCTCTCTTCCTCCTTCTCTTTTTCTCCCCTTTCCCCGTGAAAACTTCTTTTTGTTGGTGTTTTTTTTTTTCTTTCTTTTTTTTGTGTTGTTACTGATTTTTTTTTTTTCCCAAACGGAGCATTGTATATTTAACAACCGACAGCTCACCTCGCTTCCAGACCGCTGTCCTGGCCCTGGCGAGGAGCCCTGCGCACCGTGCCCTGTCCCCAGCCCCGCCAGCCGCCCGCCACTGCCACTGGGACAGACGTCACCGCGCACGTCGCCCACCGTCACCCACACTAGTTCACACACACCAGATTCCGAGTTTCCTGCCTGGTCTTTTTTTTTTTTTTTTTTTTTTTTTTTTTAAATCTTTAAGCAATACTCACTACACATTTTACGGTAGCTTTTTATAGCTTTACATACATACGGTAGCTCTGTTGTTTCGTTTCGTTTTGTTTTCGTTGATTTTTTTTTTTTTTCCAGTAAACAAGAAATACTCATAATCTTACTGGTGGGAAAAAAAAAAAAAAAAGCAGTTTGTGAAAAACTGACAATGGAAGAAGAGCTTAATGCTCTGTTTAGCATTTTGTACTTAAAAAAAAAAAAAATCTCACATTTTATTAAAAAGTGAAGATTGCTGTATACTATTTATTCAACTTATAATTTATGTTACTCTTTGATCTTTGTCTTTTCTCATGACAAAGCATTTATTTAATAAAGTTATGCATTCAGTTAGCTCGTGCCTGACCCTCGTGGAGCGTCTGTGTGCCGGCCCTGCCCTCAGCACACTGTGCCCGGGGAGGCTCAGCCAGCCCCGCAGGGTGCTGCGGGAGGACCAGGGCAGGGCTGGTGTGGTGGCAAGGGTTTAGGAGAGCTTTAGACTCCGGAGCAATCTGCTAAGGCAGCAGGAAAATTGCAAGGCTGAGCTTACAGCAGGTTCTGCCAGGTTATTTGGGGGAGAGAGATTGGTGCCAGTGATGCTGAGCTCCCAGCTGCTACCCCAAACAGATCCACAGTTTGGGTCACGATGTTTGAGCCTCAAAAAACCACAGGCAAGGGGAAGTCCTGCCCCAACACCCCAGCGTGCAGGAGCATCCCCAAACCACCCCTGCAGGGCAGCCCAGCCAGGCCGTGGTCCTCAGAGACCTCAGGGTAGCTCTCAGTGCCCCTTCCCACCACCCCTGTCCTTCCCCATGCCAGATCCAGCCTCCCCTCCACCCACACCACCCTTCGTCTTCCCACACCCCCAGCTCCTGCCCTCCATCCACCCCAGCTGCCAGCATCACCCCGTGCACCCCAAGCAAGGCAGGACACAAAACCACCCCCTTCCTCCCCAAATGAGGACTGGAGGTCGCCAGGAGCGTGCCAAACCACGTCCCCCCATCCTCATCTACACCACGCGGGGCTGGCTCTGCCTCCCGCTCACCCCATAGCCCACTGACTGGGGGCCAAAGCAGGCTGTGGGGTCACCCCACAAGGCTGGGCACCCCACAGCGCAGGAGGCGGCCGGCAGCAGGCGGCGCGCTGAGCCTGCCTGCGCTGCTCCTGCAGCCTGAGCTGGGCAGGGAGGCGCTGCTGCTGCAGCTGTCAGGCATGCAAGGCACTGAAAGCGGGCTTTCCACCCCAAAAGCGAGGGTACTACCCCCCCAAGCTCACAGGACAGTGATTCATAGCCCTACCACCACGCTATGGCTACAGGCAGGTGTAGAGAGTAGCTAGAGCTGCACAAACTATCTCATTATGTTGTTTATATTAAATATTATTTGCATTATCCTAGTGTATAAGGTATGCTGTACTAGAAGTGCAGTTTGCCAGTGCACACCAGACCCCACAGGGCTTTCCTTGATACCCAAGTGCTGCTGGCTGGGTCCCTGCACCCTGACCTCCCACCCCATCACCCAAAACACACAAAGCTGGGCAAGAAGAAAGCCCAAAGCCCAGCCCCAAGCTGTGACACCCAGCAGAGGTGTACGTGCACGTGTGTCCTTGAGGACATGTCACAAGGCTGGGGCAATCTAACCAGAAGCTCTTTGCCCCCCTTGCCCTACAGTAGACCCCACTGTAGCCCAGGCATGGCCGGGCTCTGGGCTCCTTTGCCACCCCCAGCCCTCTTTGGGGTGCTTTTCTGGGTGCTCCCCCCGAGCTGTACAGCTAAACATAGGATTTGGGTGCCCAAATCCCTCTGGGGACAAAGCCCGGCCTTCCCTCGGCCATGCAGCCCAGGCCCAGCAGGGGCAAGGCCTACCAGGCCCACCCACAGCACGTTCCTCACAAGGCCCCTGGTTAACCCCAGCCACATGGGGCCTTGCCCTCAATGCTGCGATTTTAACCGAATATAGCATGGTTTGTTGTTATTCTTTGTTTTGTGGTGGTGTGTCCCAAGCGCTGTGCTTCGGCCAGGGGACTTTTCTCCAAGCAGCACTCTGCCCAGCCCAAAAACTCCTCACACAGAGGGCAGAGGAGACCAAAACCATCAAGACCTGGCTGAGCCATGGAGAACAGGTCCATCTGCTGGCTAACCAACAGCATGGTCAGGCACAAGCACCAACTAAAACACTGCAGCAGGGAGGAGCAGAGCTCCCTCACCCTTACAGTCTTCGGCCAAATATCTGCCACGACCCCAAAAAGCAGTGCCCACACCAGGCAGAGGGACCCTTCCTCAGAGCTCTGCGAGCACGAGGCTGGTCGGGGTGCTCCCGCTATCCCCTCCCCACCAAACCAAGTGTGACAAAACCACCCACCCTTTTCCACCAAACCTGGCTACCATCAGGCAGGGAAACGGTCTCCGCACATGTGCTGGCCAGATGCTGACTTGAGAGTACTCAAAGGCATGGTTGCATTTTGCAGAACCACAAAAAAACACCGCATGCAGCATGGCCCAGAAGGGGGGATGGGGGTGACACCAGCTCCTCTCCGCTCGTACAACTGGGACCAGTGAGGATGAAAGCCAAACTCCCAGTGTCACTTGTTGGGCCCGGCATTTTACAACACCCCCAGGGCAAAAGCTAAACAGGCCCAAATTTGTGTGTGATGCAGCAGGCAAGAAAACATGCTCTATTAATAGAGGGGAGTGGGGAAGGGGGGGGGGGGGGGGAAGATGACAGTTTTCTGGCATCCCATTTAATTTATTCCAACTTTATGCAGCTCAGCTTTTCCAAAAGAGAAAAGAAAAACAAAAGAAAACTTCCTGACTCCTAAACAAAACAAAAAGTACAAACTGCAGCTGAGAGCCAGCATGCACAAGGTTTACATGAAAAAGCAGAACACCCTTGGCTGTTAACAGAAAACAGGTAGCATCATTTTTACAGTTACTTGGCTTTGCATGCAGGTGCGTTCCTCCCCTCATACGTTCTTGCTCCCTCTCACACATCTCCATCGCCTTCCCACCACAGCCCCGAGGTCTTTTCCTTTTCTCCTCCACTGATACTTCCAAACTCCCGCAAGGACACAAGGGGTTTAATAGACACAGACCATCCATGCTCTTTCCACTTCAGATGTGAAACATAGGGACAGGAAGGAAGAAAAAAAATAGCAACAAATCCCAGTGCTCCCTTTCCTGCAAAGTTTGGGGCTTTTTGCTTTTCCTTACCCAGCTTCAAGCCCCCAGATGAGGGATATCAGCAGGAGGACTCCACTGTGGTGTTTCTCCAGAAGCTCCAAGGACAGCACAGTGACAGCACCAGCCCCTCAACCCCTCTGTTAGCAATGCCCACCCCCAGCCCTGCCCAAAGTCCTGCAAAAAGCTCTAAGACAATTTGCTTGCTTTTAATGTAAGGAGAAGGATGTTTGCAATTGCTTTGCAAAGGGTAGCCACATTAAAAAGGGGAGGAAAAAAAAAAATAAAATCTCCTTGCTTAGGCGACGGGGAAGTTATTTATTCTCAGCGTCGGTGTGTTCTGTACAGAAAGAAATCAACAGGTGAAGTAATGGCAGAGACACATCGGTCCTCAGAGCGGCATGTCCAGTGCAAAACCTCTCAGAGTGCCTGCAATTGCTTGGCTTTAACCTATACAAACGTGCACGTGGGCAGACGGGTGCGTGTGTGTCCGGGCCTTTACAAAGCATGATATATACTGTACTTACAAAAAAAAAAAAAAAAGTGTGTGCTGAATAGCAAATGCTCACTCCTGTCCCAAGCGAAAATGGAGGGACAAGAGCAGCTGCTGGGAGTGCAGGTTTTAGATGAGTTTTTCCTATCTAGAAAGAAAGAAAGAGAGAAAGAGAGACACTCCCTGGCTGGTTATCCTAAATCTACACAGGCATCCTTCCACCCAGCCCCGGCAAGTTCACTTTAGCTCCCTCAGCTTAAGCCGATCCTAAGAAATACTGGGCAGCAGCCCTCCAAACCCCTCGGAAAACCAAGCATTCAGCTCCGCAGTCACCCAGAGGCCCCATCCTCCTGGACCAGCAGGGCTGGCTGCAGCCAGGGGTGGTTTTGGGGGGGGCTGTCTTGTTTCTATCCCCTGGTGATGCCCCCTTGGGGGACGCATCCCCATTGCGCTGGCATGTTCCAGCTGGGAAGGGGGGCTCTCCTCCTTCCCTCCCTCCCACACCGCATCCCGCGCCAGGACCAACAGGACACGAGAAGCAGTATTTACAGTCTTTGGTCTCGGGGGAGGGAGGGATGGAGGGGGGAAGTGGGATATTTTTTGTTGGTTTTTATTTTATTTTTTATTTTTTCCCCCCTCCCCTCCACGGCAAAGGGTTTTTGCCTGCGGAAGGTGCCGCAAAGCAGCAGGGAGGGCAGGGCCACAGGGCGAGGAGCAAAAAAAGACCGGTTCTCTGGCTGACATTGGGCAAAAGACTATAGGAAAGCAGTCCCTTCTCCTTGCAACCCCCCCCCCACCGCCCTTCCCCTCCCCTCGTCCCTTCCCTCCCCAGGAGCCGGGCAGCAGGAGGGCAGAACGTGGGACCCAACCCTGGTCTCTTCCAGAGCCTAAAGAGACACGCTGAAACCCATGTACAAATCCAGCACCAGGGCCACGGCGAGCAGGATCACGTCCGTCTACTGGCTCCGCAGGGCGTGTGCTCCCCGGTCCTCCTGCTCGTGGGCTGTGTAGAAGAGGTGGCACTCGGGGTCCCCACGGATGGTGGGCGCACCCTGGATCACCTTCCCGTGGATGGGGTCCACGCACCAGCACTCGCCACGCTGCCCGTTCACCGACATCTTGCACTGCAGGGAGAGGGATGGGGCAGACGTCAGCTGAGGAGATACGTGGAGAAGACCACCCCCGTCACAGCCCTGTGTGGTTTCTCTGGAGATTCAGCGCAGATGGTTTGGATTTAAGCAAGGTTTAGGGGTGCTGTGCGAAAAGAGGGATTAAATATACTGACAAAGGGCCTCCATAAGCTTCATTTTGCCTGCAATTGGGCTAAACATAACAGCTAGGCCCCATGGAAGCACTCAACCGTGTTTGGGAACGGGGTCCCTACCTGTTCCCATACAGAGACAGGGAGCACAGTGCGCCTGGACCTGGACTCTGTCCCCCAAAGCCTGCTCTAAGTAGAGCAGGCTTTGATTTAGAGCAAAATTTCTTGCCCTAACTGCTATCACCCACCCCTTACACCAGCAGGACTGCGGGCACCTTGTACCTAGTGCTCATCCCTCCATCCCCAAGGGACACGTCCCTGAACAAGTCACAGCAGGAACCAGCCCCCACAGCAGAGGTGAATCCAGCAGGCCAGGCTCTGCATGCGCTCTGCAAAGCTGAATTCCAGCCATTTTCTGCAGCTGGACTGAGGTCAAAACACGGCCTTGTTCATGGGGATAAAAAGCAGGAAAAGAGGTAGAAAAAGGAGCCCCAGCATGAGTGCGCACCCAGGCACCCTCCATCTCATTCTAGCCCACAGGAGGTGGGAGCAGCCAGGAATGCTTTTGTTGGCATCCAGTTTCCAGAAATGAAAGAGGAGCCAACACTCAGCTCTAGAAACTAGATGGAGAAAAAACTAGGAACAGCCTCATGCTTGCCCTGTTTGCCCTCAACCAGACCAGGAGGAGAAACAGCATTTTTGTCCCTTCTTTTTTCTGCAGCTATGGTCAATGTGTAACATCTGCATGCTGCAGAAAGAGAAGGGACAGAGAAAGATTATTTCAAAGCATCCTGCTCTTTCTTAATACTAAAAAAAAGTGTTCCTGATCAAGGGTTGAAAGTAGTCTTTAAAAGAAAGGCTTAGCCGTGAAAGCAGCAGGCCACCTGATCCCTCCAAGGGATCAGCTCCACATAGCCAGAAGGGGTGCTTGCATACAGGTATCTTTGATGCAGGTCAGCCCTGGACCAGCTGGTGTTTTTCTGCCAAATAGAGCTTTCTCCTGTCTGCAGACTCTCCTGCAGCACACGATGCTCTCCTAGAGCCTGTGACTGTTCCTCACACTGCAGACATCAAACACCTGGCTCTGAATCAGGCTCCCAGAGGCTTTGTGGCACCACAGCATCTTCCAGAGCTGCCCCAGCCCATCTTCCAGGGCCCCCTGGGACCTGCTCCCTGCCCCAGGAGCAGAGGAGGATTTCTATGCAGTGCTGAGCAGAGGGATGCCATTAGGAGCACAGCTTGGGCTCCAGCTCGTCCCACTTGCCTGCTTGAGATTGTACAAGCCATGCTTGTCGCAGTTGGGGATGTGGAGGGAATAGAGGTGCTCCAGGGGACCTCGCTCATCCGGCAGCCGCATGGTGGAGATGCGTTCCAGGACCTGATCCAGCTCCTGCTGACAAGGGGTCTGAAAAGAGCCGAGAAAATAGAAAGACAAATAACCCATGTAATCCCAAATCCGTGTAACGAGACCGTTCACAGCATCATATCCCCAAATCTTCACGTGTCCAAGAGCCAACCCAACACCTGATTGCAGGCCTTGAAGGCACAACGGAGAAGCCTCGGAGATGCTTCCGCAGCAGCCCTGAGCCTGGGCTCCCAGCTGAGGCAGCTCTGTCTGCTTCTGCTTTATGTTGGGTCTGCCCCTGTCCCCCCCAGCAGCAGTAACAGCATGGAGACTCTCTCAAATGATGATATCCCCACCACCACACCATGGAGCCACGTCTGTCCCACAGAAATCAGCCAGTTAAGCTAAATTTGACCCAAGGGCTGCAGGAGTAAGCACAGGGAGTGCACACTGGGGAGACTGGGCCATGAACATGCCTTTTCCTTGGAGATAAAGGCTCTTAAAAGCTCCTGTCTGCCCCTGTACTCCCCACATATAAATGCCTTGTGTTTATAGAGAAGTATTACAGACCTTTTGGGGTGGCTTTCCAGCCCTATGCCACCTAGTTGCCTTGACCAAGCTGCCCACTAGAGGGAAACCATGGCCAAGAACCGGAGGGCAGCAGGACAGGGACAGCACACCGGGCACTGTCCTGCTGCATGACAGCCCCACAACACTCTTCAGGGCCCCCCTCAACCCATGCTGGGGCTGTCCTGCAGCAGGCAAAACCCCCCGCCATAAATCCCTGGGGGCTGCTTAGGGAAAAAGGGTGTGCAAAAGCCAGGCTGCAGGCAAAGGGCATGCTCACGCCCCTGCAGGGGCTGGTGCTGAGCCAGCAGGACCCCCCTTCTCCAGCCCTGCTGTCAGAGGGTGAAGCTGCAATGAAAATAACGCCTCCTCGCCAGCACATCAAAGTTCATCAGATGGCGTGTTCAACCCCAGCTTCAGGCCAAAACAAACGTTTGCTTTTCTTTCTTTTTTTTTTCCCCTCTCTTTTTCTCTCCCTTTCTTTAAAAGGCAGCTGCAAATGTCACTTTTGCATTCAGCATCTCCCCGTGAGAGCCTGTTAGGCCCCCGTGCCCCCACCACCCCCCTCACACGCTCCCTCCTCTCACCCTGGCCGTCAGCACCCGCGACTTCTTCGAGTCCTCGTGGTTGTGATGGGGCTTGCCCACTTTGCCCATCTGCCGCTGCTGCTCATTCACCTTCTCCCTCATAACCGCCAGCTCCTTCATGCCCGTTTTCATGGGTTTCCTGCCCCCAGCTCCGCTCAGGATCCCTGGGGTGCCATCCACGTGATTCTCAGCAAGGATGCTCTCGGACCGGTCATCGCCATTGTCTGCAAGAGAGAGGGCAGAGAAGGAAAGGGTCAAGCTCAGCCAGGCACTCTCTCACATGTTCGTCCCATCCTGGATCGCTTTCAAGCATGGACAGTTACCAAGCCATAAAATCTTTGCATGCAAAAATTTTAAATTGCATTAGCCCTTTCATCTGGAAGGTGAGAATAGATCCTTTCATTCTGGAGTTATTACCACACGAAAAGACAGTTTAGAGATCAGGGGAAATCGCTGCTGCTGGAGAAGTTCTTTCTGGTTTTTCTTTGACCTTCTAAATTACTTCCCGAAGAATGTAATTTTCCCATCAGAAGTCCAGTTGAGTTAGTGATGCCAAGTGTACTTCAGCTCCAAAACTTAAAAACCACAGTGATTAGTAACAATACCTTGAGTCCATCTATCATCCCCCAGAGTATCTCCAGGAATACTTGCTCAATATTAATGTGCTAAAATAAATTCTCAGGACTGCTTTCAAAAATACCTTTCCTTTTTTTTTTTTTTTTTATGGCCACCCTAATTTCCCTCCAAGATCCTGCCATTTCAGTGATTGTCCTTGCCGTATCGCCTTTCACATTGTCATATGGTGCATTACTCACCCAGCTGCAAGCACGCAGCCTACCTACTTCTGTGTTTGGCCACTTCCCATTGTGGAACAACCCCACATGTCCTGGGCCTGACTCTGCCACTACTGCAAGCCACAAGACCCCTACCTAATTCAGCCATTTCAAATCTCTTAGAAAAGCTGGATAAACGCCAGGCTTTTCCCACCTCCTCCGTTCCCTGCTTTGTGCATTTTCCCAGTTTGCTGGGCACTGTTTCTGTAGGTGATCCTTGCCAAAGCAGGACACAACAACGGCAGTGCTGCAGTCCCTTTGGACTTCGCAGTGGAGGCAGATCTCAAATCCTCCCATTTGCTCCAGCAGGTGACAGCTCGGTCTCCTCCTTGGTGCCTGGCAGCACCCGTGGTCTGACCTGGCTGAGATACGGAGAAACCTGAGCAACCACATCTACCACTGAAGCTGGATTTAACACTTGAGCTAGCCCTGCTCTGAGCAGGGGCTTGGACCAAGACTTCCAGAGGTCCTCTTCAGCCCAAATTACGATTCAACATATGCATGTACAACACCCTTCTCATTACAACCCAAGCTAATGTGTCTACACATAGCTCTTCAGCAGCTCAATTGGTACAATGGCAGTGACAGACCAGGCCCTTCTGGTCCTACAGTGGTGACAAGCATGAAGTTTCATAGCATACCAAGGAGAACTGTAGCACCCAGCCTCCAAGCATCAGCAACACAGTCCAGACTGTCTCTGACACCTCTGTTTCAGCTTTCCAGCACCCCAGACACTTGTACAAAGTCACATTAAACTGTGAATGACAGGGCACACAATACTTTAGTTCATGTAACAAGGCTTAATTTATGGTCCTGCCCTGCTTTTTGGAAGACCAAGCAGGCAGAGCACTTAAAAAGTTTAACATTTCCTTCCTTTTAGAAGCTGCATCATGTTTTGACAGGACATAACTGTACCATCTTGTGGTACATCATAATAGGAAGTGTTTTATTTCTGCCACAGCTTCCCAAGCTCTTTTCTGCAGGTGTTATGACCCCAGGGTCCCACAGGGGAAATTGCAAGGAGAGTTTTGTCTACAATTACTCAGTAAACGTGCAGCTGCCTACAGACTGATGGCAGAAGAACAGCCCAAGAAGGCTGGATGACAGACCAACCCCAACGTCCCATCCACAACAGACCACCAGAAGCTGCTTGGGGACAAGTGTCAGAAGGACACTTCCCAATCTGTGCTGGAGAGCAGCAGCAACAGCCCTTCTGTGCTGGAGCCTGCATCTGATCCACAGGATTTAAAAGCCACCAGTGGACCCATCCTCCATGGATTTGTACAATATCCTTTTGAACTTCCTCCCAGTTTTGGCCCCAGATCTCCCAGTACTGGGATCGTCTCACTTCCCAGAAATACTAAATGTGTTTGGTTTGCAGGTTTTTAGCTGCTTAGGTAGTGACTGAAAAGCAAACATGGGGCAAAACCAATCTGGCAAAGTCCACGACTTTCCTCAATACCGGTTCCAGACAAGAATTTGGATGAGGCTTGATAGCCAGATGGGCGAGCTCAAAGTCTGGGCTGCTGCCTGGCGATTGCTGCCTTGGCTATCATCCGAGGAGCTGGGCAAGGAACATTTTGAGCAAGAATCTTCTGTTTATCCACCAGTCTCCCCATTAATTAGAAACACATAGCGAGAAGAGAAGGCCATGAGGCTGCCCTGCAGACAGGATCAAATGAAAAAGCACCGTGCAGAAGATGGGCAAGGCCTGCCAGGCGCTGACTCGCAACCAGCTGCTTAGGAGGTTTTCAGCCTCTCAATATCTTTTGTCCTCTCCTGGGTGACCCCATGAAGTGACCAACACCACGAGGAGAGCAGTAGCAAGGCAGTTTTTTGGACACATCGCAGTCCCCTGCTCCATTCAGAAAACTGCTGGTGCACAGTGACCGAGGAGCAGCGTGCTGAACGCAGTGCCTTCCCTGATCAGCTCTCGCTCCTTCCTCCCTCCAACTAAAATATATAGACATCTGCCCAAATAAGCACTGCTCTAGTAAATCAAGGCAAGCTGGTAAGCCTCTTGTCGGCTGATTCATTCACAAAACCTGCTTCTGATAATATTTTCGCTCATTTTTCTCACTTTCCAATGCTAACAAATGTCAGCCCAAAGAAAACCCCTGATGGGAGCAGAGCGTGCAAGCCCATGTGCACGAACACACCCAGGGACGGGAGAGGTTGGTCTTGGCTCCTCGGGCACCCTCACAGGAACAAACCTGGAGCCGAGGCCAGAAAGGTCCAGCTGCTATCAACTGCAAGTTTTCCTCCACGCCGCTGAGACGGCTTGATCCACCTTGGGCAGACTCCAGAGCCCCAGCACAGCTTTTCCCCCTCTCTCAAAGTCTGCACTGCTCCTTAAGAGGAGTCCTCCTGGGCTGAGGCTTTCAGAGATGGCACTTTTTGATTTTGATTTAGGCCCTGTTTTGTCCTCCCCGTTTGTTCAACTTCACGCAAGCCAACAACCAGGACATCCCCCCCTTCCCAGCAGCTGGGGAAGGGGACAGGACAGGAGGCTGGGCCCACCATTCCTTCATGAAACGAGACCTAGCTTGGGTAGACATTTGGTAGGCCTCATTTCAAAGCACTAAGAGTCCAGGGCCTGGCAGCCATGGCAAGAGCAGAGACACTGAGCCTCAAGGTTAGGAGAACAAAGAGCCAAACAATGCTTTTCACAGCCAAACAGCCGAGAGGAGCGAGTTGTACACGCTTGCTTATGACTATCTATGAACCAATTCAGCCACCCACCAACCCCACCAGCATGGGATGGGCAGGTCTGAGATGGCCTAAGATACACAGGCCTAATCCATTTGTCATCCTGGCAGCCGCCCTTTCGCTGACCAATTTCAATTTGCGCTAAATATATCCGTGAACAGAGCGGTGCCGAACTCCAAAACAATTATGTTTTATAGCTCTTCCATTTTCCTGTGGCATGTGGAAAACATCTCCTGTGCTATTTTGGATCAAAAGGTAGAGCACGCCACGCAGGGCGGGAGCGGCAAGGCAGGAATCAAAGCAGATAGCCCAAGTTCTCCTGAACGCCGATGCGGAGCCCATGAAACACCTCTCTCCACGCCAAGGAAATGATTTCCTTATGGCCTTTTTCAAGGAAAATTCCCATTGGCTTCAATGGGGTGAGGACTTGGCTGAGGAAGTTTATCCCAAAGGCCATCAGCTAATGTCTGTAGCAAGCCACGCAGTCTCGCCAACATTTTCAGAAGCGGCTACTAATTTCCAGCACTAAAGTTTTCAGGAATCTGGTTCAAGACCTTCAGGTACCCCCACCGAGATGGTGGAGAAACAGAGGGGCTTAAAAAGGACCTGATGGCTCCTGAGAAGAAAGGAGAGAGAAGCCCCATGCACAGAGAGGCAGCTGCCTGCTTGCTCAGAAGTTTCACAGGCATTTGCTTATCCGCCCAGGGTGTTTACACAGCATCCAAGTGCTGATTGTGGTCTCAAATCCACAGAAAGTTTTGACCAAGTGGCCTTCAACACCCTGCTCACAGCCCCCTCAGCTTCATGGCCTGGATGCTCCCCAGGCTCGCATCTCCCTGCCGCAGCCATCCCTCCTCATCTGAAGACAAAGAGCTTTACACCCAATAATGACCCCAGAGAGGGAAGTGTTCTTCCTGGGACACAGACAGACAGACTTTAAGGAGCTCTGCTTCCCATCCCAGCTGCCAGGAGCCCAGCCCTTGTCCTGCACAGCCTGAGAGCAGACAGAGCCTGTAAGCCTGACCCTTACCACGCACCACAGCCAGGGAATGAGTCGCAGGAAGGTGGGGAAGGAGCAGACAAACCCTGACTGCAGCCTCGGTGACCTCTGCTTCATCCCTCTGCAAAGCATTTCTAGGAGAGCTCTGGGCAAAGGTTCCTGTGCAATAGCTCTGGTGTGGGTGTTGTTGACCTGGAGCTCGGATACCTCAGGAAACGTTTGCCAGCAGGGATTATATCGGCGTTGCAATTTCCTTGCGGCAGGGGCTGCCAAGAACAAAGTCCCCCCCAGGCCTCTGGCCCACCCTAACCCAAAAAGGACCCAGGTTTGTCACTACTGCTGCCAGAATAAGAAGCGCCGCAGTGGCACAGCATCCAGCAGGGCTCAGCTGACAGCAGAGGGGGGGACTTTGGGGCACCGGTGCATGGCCCAGGCCCACAAGTAACTGAGCCAGGCTGGATGTGACTCTCCAGAGGCAGAATAAACCAAGGCAGTCACTCAAATTTCACTCTTTGTGCTCAAAAAAAAAAAAAAACTGGAATATGCCACAGAGGGAGTGCAAGTAATGGGCAATGTAGGAGAAGGGAGGCAGAAGGGATGTAGGGCAGAAAAGAAGCCCTCCCACCAGACACATCCAGACCAGGTTTAACAGCCATCAGACCAAGATGGGAGGAATCCCGTT